TTTGGAGCTGTAAGTACATTTAACATGGTAGTTTTAGGCAAATGGAAGGGGTGTCCATGGCCATGTGGCGATAATGAACTGGAGTATGGAACCAGCTGTGAGGTCCCCAACCTCTGCTCGTATATCGACTCAGATCGCAGGAACATCATGCAGTCGGCCCCGTCTTGGATGGCTCGGTACACTGAACAGATGGGATCCCATTGTCTTTCACACGTCTATCTTGTTATACCTTCACATGTGAGGCTAGCCAGACATGCACGAGCCTTGTTGACCGATGGAGTACTGTCGCGGTAAATATGAAGAATCGATCAGTTTCGAGCAATCAGATTCTTGTTTGATCATTGGGGGTTCAGTTGATCTCTTTTCTGGAGTTACAGTAAATCTTGATAGGTGTCGTGTGGATGTGGAAGACAAGGAAGAAGAGAAAAGAAAAGGTTGTCTTAACCTTGAAAGATCGGCTGAAGTATCATTGGTGGGCTTGTGTTGGGTGTTTTCATTTTTTTCACTTTAAGGCTTGGTGAATAGCTGCTGTAATTGGGCTCATTGCTTTATATTTTCTGGGCTTTTCAGTTGTAGGACATGTAGAGTGGTAAATTGTACACCAAGAAGAAGTGGGTTTTCTCTCCCAATCAAGTCATAAGAAAATATTTTTTCTCATGTGCATCAAGTTTAAATGTACATGATTGATTTAAATCCAATTAAAAAGAAAAAAAAACAATATTCTTAATATAGGAAAACTAATATAAGAATAACTTAAAAAATTAAATCCAATTAATCATTATGCAATCTTAATCTAGCAAAAACTCACCCCTTTCTACTCATGCTATAACCACAAGAGCAAAAAATAACATTCATAAGCCAATTAGAAAAATAAACCTTCACACCTAATTTACTAAATTCAATGACCTTGAATTAACCACGATAACTCTATCTCTTAAAAATCTTAAATGGTATTGGGCTATGTCTGATTATTATAATACTCTAGTTTGGAATAGAACATGAAAGCTCGTACCATATGATTTCACTGATAATATCATTAAATGTAAATGGATTTTTAAAATTAAACATAACTCTAATGGTTTTATTGACATGTTTAAAGCTCGTGTAGTTGTAAGAAACTTTCATCAAAGGTAAATTACTATAACATTTTCAATACCATTGTCAAACGAACCAAGATTTATATTATTCTAAGTCTTGTTGTGTCTGGAGGTTGGTCCTTAAGACAACTTAATATAAACAATGTTTTTCTTCAAAGCCACCTCTTAGAAAATGTTTATATGACACAACTATTTAGCTTTGTTGATCAAGATAATCCATCTCATATTTGCAAACTTAAAAAAGCAATCTATGACCTGAACTAAGCACCTCAAGCTTGGTATCATTAACTTCACTATTTTCTCATTAATTTTGGCTTTAAGGATTTTTATATTGATACATCTTTGTTTGTACTTGATGTTGATGGTCATGTTATATATCTTTTAGTATATATTGATGATTTCATTCTCATTGGTGATAATTTAGAGATTGTTGATTATTTTGTGCAATCTCTTGCTCATTGGTTTTCTATTAAGGATCTAAAGGTTTTTTTTAGGTGGGAAAGTTATCTAAATCCAATATGGTATTATGCTTTTCTCAAAGATGATATATTATGGACAATTTAGCTCGTATTCATATGACAAATGCTAAGCAACTTTTCACTCTTAGGAGTTGGTGGAAATCTTGTTGGTCCTCTCATCATTTAAAAAGAAAAGGTAAGTTATTTTCACTTGGCTAAAATTCTTGCCATTTGGATCAATCAATTCATCATCCACTTTCTTGGCATTAACTTGCATTTAACATAAAACAAAATTGAATTATATTGGTTTTTTTTTGTTTTTTTTTCTTTTATTAATTGAACTAAATTAAACCAAACAAAAAATAATCGGTTTGAACCAGTTCAATTTTAAATTAAAAAAAATAAAAATTTATTTTGGTTGGTTTTTCAAAATAAAAACCAAATCAAACCGAAAATACTCCCCTCTAATTCCATGTGTCCTTGCTTAGGGAGAAAGAGGGAGACAATGTTGTGATTTCGACATCCTTGCCGAAGGTGGATGACTATGGAATGATGAAGTTTAATCCATTAGCAATCTTTGACAGAAAAGTAATGAAGGATAATTAGGCAATAGCTATAGGGCTTGTTCAATGGTCCAATTTGTTCAAGGAAAATACCACTTGGAAAGATTTGGAGGAGCTAACCATTCAGTTTCCAGACCTTAATCTCAATTCTTAAGGACAAGAATCTTACAGGAGAAGGTATCGTTATTATCCAGCAGATAACACGAAATAGAGGCATGAAGGCAGCAGCAACAAAAGTGGTAGCAACAACAAAAGATATGGCATCAACAGCAGTTAGAAGGAAGTTAGCTAACAAGTGTGGAGAAATTAGTTAGTTGCTAGTTGGTAAGTTGTTAGTTGGAAGGTAGGTGGTTAGCTAGCTAATAAAAAGAAGGAAGAACAGAACTTATATAAATAGCTTGTAATAGAAAACGTACAAAGTCAATGCAATAATTGAAGAACAGTTCGTGTAATCTCTCTTCCACCTCCTCCTCCTCCTCGTCTTCTTCTTCTATTTCTGTCTCTTTTCTTGAATTCTATAACAAGGAAACCATGACACATCACTTCAGAAACCAGAAAAGTCAGGTACAGGGGGGAGTGTTGAGAGATTACAGGGGGTAGGCTTATTTGCATGTTCTATTATTATTTAAATATTGCTCACCCCAATCACTACGCGGTTCAGAAGGAAGAAAAAGAGAGTTATTTTAGCGTTAATCATGGAGCTTGAAACACGGTTTTAGCTTGTTTTAGATCCTCACTTTTATGAATTATTTATGAATCCCATCTTCGATGAGAAGTGTGGTCTAATCAATCCACCAAGACAGCAGAGGATGTCCATGGAAATAATGGAAGTGACTGCCATTATAATTTATAGGCCAAAAGGTTATGAGATCGATCATCACTTTAATTAGATGCCAAGTAAATGGAAGCAATGGTTCATTTCATGGGGTTCTCACTGTCACTCACTCAGCAAACTTTTCTGCCGCCCATCCTGTCCTTTGAGAGCAACATTAGAACTACTCCTTCAAGGGTTTCCCTTGTGTATTCATCCTCCACAGACGATTATGATCATATGGTGCATGGAGGCAGAGAGAGAGAGGGAGAGGGACAGGGAGAGAGAGAGGGAGATTCTGTTCAAATGGAAAGCTTTAGACTGTATATATATATATATATAGTGCTATGACTGGTCTACAGAGATGACAGAGATGGCCACATCAGCCGGAAACACGGGCATTGATCCATGGAAACACATTAGTACTATGAAATATAAAAAACATGTGAGTTTCAACGCTGAGGCTTTTGGTAAATTTGGTTAAGAATGATAAGTACGAGCACATCCAACATAATTTTACCCACCATTTCTGTGGTTATCTTTTTTTTTTTTTTTAAAGGTTGAAAATAGTGGAGTTAGGAAGAAATCCTTGGATTTAAAATGAGTGACTAATCTTGAGGATAAGAATGAGTTAATAATATAATGATGATGTAGCTATGATTCTCAAAAGATTCACATTTTTTTTTAAGAATAGAAAAGAAGTATGGCAATTAAATAAATTTTATAAGAGAAAACGATTATAGTGATGATAGTTCATCAAATGATGTGATTTCAACTTAAAAGAAATATTAGTCAATCAATATATGATGCATACTATTGATTTCACCAAAGAGAAAATTTGTGTGATGGTCATTAGCTCCCTCGATAATAATAACGTAAATGATCTGGAATCTCAAATTACTTTTTATAAATTACAAAATGCTTTCGATGAATATCGTTAATACAAAAAAAGTACAAAAGAAAAATATTTTGCTTCAAATTAAACTTGATACTTTTTCAAAAGATTTTGATGTTTTGCAAAAAGAAAAAAGAAAAAGAAAAAAGAATGCCTTGTTAACAATGAGAATTGGTTTTAAAAAGAAATTAGATTATTTGAATGATGCACCTAATTCGTCAATTTTAAATGAAAAATTAGTCAAAGAAAATGAAATCTTGAAAGCTCAAGTTCTTGATGTGAATCCCATTTTGACTAAACTTACTAAAAAAAAGGAGAATGCAGATCAACTTCGAAGTAATCAAATTTGTATGTTTAAGAAAAGTGATTTAAGATAAAAACCAATAAAAAATAAAAAAATTATATTCAAACTTCTTTGTTATAGCATTATCATTTTTAAGCATATATAATTCTTGTAGAACAAATGATTTTCATGAAAAATATTGCATGCACAATAATATCTAAACTAAAATCAAAATTATTTGGGTGTTAAAAAGCACATTTACTAACCTAGTTGGACCTATGAAATTATGGGTACCAAATCTACCATGTTGACATCTTTCCTTGTAGGAAAAAAAAAAATCCAAGTGATATTTGAATAATAGATGTTAAAGATATATGAAAGGTGATAAATCTAAATTCACTTCCTTTAAATAGAAGAATGCTAAACATGTGATATTTGAAGACGATACCAAGAAAAAGGTAAAGGTATCAGTGATCTTATAAATTCTCCTACCATTAAGTATGTTTTACTTATTGATGGTTTAAATTATAACTTACTTAACATTAATCAATTATCTAATATGGGTAATATAGTTATTTTTTATTCCTTATATTATTTGGTCATTAGCATTACTGATAATAAAATGTTTTTCATAGAAAAAAGACTTAAAAACACTTATGTGATAAACATAAATGATATTGATTATGATGTAAAATGTTTTAGTGCTTTGGTGGACTCACCTTATATTTGACATAGAAAAAAATTAGTCATGCTAATATGTAATTAATTAAAAAATTATGCAAAAAAGAGCTGGCGAGAGGACTTTTATTTACTCGCGATGGTCATAATTCATTTGAATAGTGTTGACTCGCTATTTACTCGCGATGGTCATAATAAAATAATAAGATTATATAGGAGAGATGGCCGAGTTGTTTAAGGCGTAGCATTGGAACTGTTATGTAGGCTATTGTTTACCGAGGGTTCGAATCCCTCTCCTTCCACCAATGGAAGTTGCAAGCCTTTTTCTTTTATAAAGATGGTAAGGAGGAGGGAAACTTTGTGTTTTATTTTTCTTTTTGTTGTTTAGTTTCTTTTATTTTCAATTTAACCCTTCAACAACCTAATTTTTATTTATTTATCTGTTTTTTTTAATTTTATCTTTTAATATTAAGTTACTTTGAGAATTGTGCTTTGTAGTTTCTTTTTTATTTCCTTTATATTGGATTATGTACTAGTCTCATGTATTTATTTATTTTTTTCTCAAATTCAACCTTCAACATTAGATTTGTTGGAAGTGAGATTCATCATTTCTTTTCAGTTTTGTTTCAATGAATTTATCATTATCTTATCATCCAGGTCATAGGTTTAACAAGTTAAATTGGGTTAACTTGGATTTTTTTAGGCTTCTTTTTCTAATTGATTTTTTTTTCTATTTCATTATTCAACATTGGGTTGATGAGAAATTAGATTTTGTAATTTTTTTAATTGATTTTCCATGAAATTATCTTAATTTCATGTCCTAGATCGTAGGTTTTGCAGGTTGACCCGTGTTTATTTTATTCACTTTTTTGGGTCCATTTTTTATTGAATATTTTTTTTTTATTTCTTTCCATATAGTTATCATAATCTCATAACCTGAGTTACGAGTATGGCAGATTGACCCAAGATAACGTGGTTTTTTTTGTTTCTTTTAATTGATTTTTTTTTTGTTAAGCTCACCCTCCAACAACTCCATCTTTTTTTTTTTCAATTTCATCTTTCAATATAATATTGTTTGAGAATTGAGCTTTGTAATTATTTTGAATTTGCTTTATGTGAAGTTACCTTTGTTTCATGGATTTTTTTTTCTCAATTTCAACCTTCAATATTGAATCTATTATAAGTAGAGCTTTATAATTTTTTTTTATAGAGTTATCATAGTCTTATGATCTAGGTCACAAGTTTAACAGGTTAGCTCGGGTTGACTTGGGTTGTTTTTTTTTTTTATCTTTTTTAAATTATTTTTTTATTTCATCATTCAATATTGAATTGATTAGAAATTAGGATTGATAACTTTTTTTAATTTGTTTTCGATTGGTTTATCCTAACCTCATGACCTAGATTGTGAGTTTGTTAGGTTAACTCGAGTTAACCTAGGTAGGTTTTTTTATCCTTTTTTTTATTTAATATTTTTATCTTTTGAAATTGGATAGAATAAAAATTAAATTTCATAATATATTTTAATTTTTTTAATAAAATTATCACAATCTCATGATTTGAGTCTTAAATTTGACAGGTTAACTTTAATTGACTTAATATATTACAATTTTAATATTTTAAAAAATAATATTATTCAATATGCTGCTATATCAATATTTTTTAAAAAATATCATTTAATATATATTATATTTGGAGTTTATTTTTATTAAAAATATGTAAACATTCATTCATTCATACATACATACATTATACATTCACACACACACACACACACACACATATATATATATAAAAAGTTTTCCAACACCACGGGGAAAGAGAAAAGAAGAAGAGACTGACATTGAATGGTTCAGTAAAAGAGATGCTAGCTTGCTAACTTCAGCTCTGCGAGTACCTAGTCCTTACTCCTTCTGAGTTTGTATTTCCGAGTTTATCCTCTCTTGTTATACAAGGTTTTTTCTTGTTCTTTTTCATTTTCGGGTAAGCCCTCCTCTACCCTCCACAAATTAACACGTAGCTGTGTATTTACATGTAATATACAGACCTGCGACACAAACAAACTCCATGGGAGAAGCCTCAATGTTCATTTTACCATGATTATTCCATGATATGTTGCTAAATACAACCATAATTGCACCAGAAGACTATTAGCCCTAGACTCGTTCCCAGGTTTCAGCTCTCTCCACATTTAATGGGAAACCTAGCTACCCATCTACAGTCTAAAACCTAGTTACCTGTTTCTAAATTAGAAGGCTAAAAGCTGGACAGATTGCAAATCAGTCCCTACCATTCTTTTCTGCTACCACACTAAAGAGGCACCAAACTGTGTGCGTCACAGCCAGTTTTACAGGGTATTTTTTAAAAATTATTTTGGATATCAATATATTAAAAAATAATTTTTAAAAAATTAACTTTTAAAATACGAACAAAAATTACGATTGCTACGACGAGTGTTTCTCCCCTTTCTTTTGCCCCAGATTTGAAGGAAAAAAAAAAAAAAAAAAAGAGGAGCAAACTCTATTATGCCTAACATTTTACAATTACCATTATGTTCATTTATTCAATCCAACCCTTTCTGTTTAAATTACCCTTCTCTTTCTCTTCAGATCTCATCAGTACATGAAGGTCTTTCAAGAAGTTCTTTTTATTCCTTGTTTCCAAAGAAGTAAATCTAAAAAGACTAAAACTGGGTGGAGTTCTTTTGGTTGGCAACCACAGGTAGTTTCCTCTTTTTGATGTCAAATTGCTTACCTTTCTAAGAAGCTAGGGCTTTCTAGGTGCCATTGAAGCCACAGATGTTCTCTTCCACCAGCAGTACCATCCATCTTTTTCAGAGCCTTTCCTCTTCTCCTTTCAGCCCCCCTCCTTACATTACTGACCATGAAACTACTGACATTTTCCATCAACACCACCACCACATTGACCCGCTCACAATTCCTTCAGTATCAACCAACCCATTACCAGTCGCTGAGACCGTGATGAACATGGCAGCTTCAAACAACAGCATGATGTCTGAGCGAGATGTTACTGCCCTCGATGGAGAACTATACAATCGTTCTCATTTTCTTTCTGGAAAAAAATCTGTAAAGAAAGATAGGCACAGCAAAATCTACACAGCTCAAGGCTTGAGAGATAGGAGAGTGAGATTATCCATTGAAATCGCGCGTAAGTTCTTTGATCTCCAAGAGATGCTAGGGTTTGATAAAGCAAGTAAAACCCTAGACTGGCTGCTCACCAAATCAAAAAATGCCATTGAGGAACTAGCCAAGAATGGAGGTGAGAAATGCTTGTCTTCTACTTCTACTAATTGTGAAGTTGTGTCCGAAAGTGGGGACCTAGAGGACAGAGTACCTTCAGAGAGTCAAAAGCAAAGGATGAAGAAGATGCAAAACATAGCAGTCGATCTTCTTGCGAAAGAGTCGAGGGCTAAAGCTAGAGAAAGAGCTAGGGAGAGGACTAGAGTGAAAATGTGTACTAGAAGGCTCCTTGAGACAAAAAAATGTCCTGACTTTAGTTGCTTGAAGCAGCCAAGTCCCTTGAACCAACATCAATCATGGGAGAAATCATCCTCTTACAATGGCACATCCTCCATGAAGGTTGTTGCTCGTGGTCAAGTTGAAGATCCAAGCTCTCACCACTCACTTGCCAATCATTCTCCTAAAGGAAACATCATCGAAGAATCGATAGTGATGAGGAGGAAGTTGAGGCCATCTGCAACAATGGGTTATCAGCAAAACCTTCTAATGTTAAAAGATGCAAGTTGCAGCAACAACAGCAACAGCAACTACTTACCCAATTTAGCCCAAAATTGGGACATTAGCAGTGCAATTGCGCACTCCAGCTTCCGTCCTTTTACCACCATGAATCCGTCTACAGGTTTGTTATGAGAACACAAAACTTCTCACATTTCAGTCACAATTGATTCAATCTCAACCTCGATTTTTGCAGAAATACAGCTGAATGGAAAACTTTGGGGGACTGGGAACAATTGATGTCAACAGTATTGTATAAGATGGTGTTATGTACAATACTAATTAAAGATGTAAGCTTCAGTTCTCTTGCTGTATCTCTTGGTATCCTAGAAATAGAGTACCTTTCAAATAAAAATAAATTAATCTCTTATCTCTGTATATTTGCTAATTACATTTTGGTTTAGCAGATAACAACTCAAATTAATGTTGGCATACAAATCCAGTAAGTGCTTTAAAACATCAATATTGCATCTAAATCAAAGAACAAACTTAGCTAAAACATGGCTCTCCATATGTTTTATTTTATTTGAGTGCTCCTACTAAAAGTTTCCTCAAAATTTACCTCCTCTTGTTCTACAAAGAAAATTCCCAACACCAGAAGCTCCCTTTTATTTTCAACATGAGAAGTTGATTCCACAGCAACCACACACTGGAAGAATGAGTATGGACAATAGGGATTCACTTTTGCCAAGGAGGATGTTTCATTCCTAGAACTATTGGTTGAAAGCATTAAACAAAATAGAAAAAAAAAAAAAAAAAAACACCTTCAAGCTGTACATGGAACTAACAACCACTGAGCTTTAGAGGATGATTTATTCTTTTCCATTTTTTTTTTGGATTTCTTTGGAACTGATCATGGCAGACACCATTCAGAACATTCTACCTCTAAAGATTTACATGCTGCGTGCCTTGAGAACTGCTAAAACTAAATAAAGTTGGAGCTAAAACCATATACTTCTTACAAATAAAAAATAAAAAGAATTTAGAGTTTGCTGAAAATAATTAGGGCAATTCAACTGTGCTAGGATTCTTTATGTACGAAAATTATTAATAGTAAAACTTACAGGATTTAAGTTAATGCTTTGAAATCCTTACTGGCAATTTAATTGTATGTAGAAGGTCTAGCTTGAGTTCCTTACTCCTATACAGTATTTGTTGATTTCACATTTCTATATACTTACCTCATCTAGAAACATCAATTGTCTGACTAAGAAAATTATATAAATCAAATGATTTTAAAAATCAGAAGCTTGTTAACATGTATAAGAGAAACAAAACCCTCTTGTATATGCATACTAATCTATGATTTACAGATTAAGAAATTGCTAGAAAATTATATGCTTTGTTTTTTATCTATAAAACAAATATTCATCATTCTATGACATTACCAATTTACCTTTTATTGTACCCACATAAGTAGAAAAATTACAACTATAAAAAAGAGAATTAATCACACTTTGGTGAACTGAGAAAAATCTCGGTATACAAAATAAGAGATGTTTAAATTCTTCCCTTTTCCCTCCCTTTTTCATACTTTATTTACCTTCAAG